TTAGCAATGTTTATTGTTGTTAACTGTAAGTCTCTCAGGAGTCTATCTTTATTGCAAACTTACATTCACCCACCTGTTAAGGAATGCAAAATAAACCTCTGGTTTTGTTAATGAGTGCCTCCTCATTATAACCATCAAAGCATAACTTATGAAAAGATAAAAACATAAACTTTACTGCCTAAGAAAGTAACTTTGTAGCAATTGTATATGCATTTTGAATTATTTAATTCATAACTTATAAAACCTTTCCTGTATTCTTCCAGGACCAGCATGACACAATGGAAAGAAAACTCATTAAGAGTCAAAAAGCTTATTGTATAACACTGAATAAATCATTGATCCTCCTTCATATCTTCATTTGCTCACTAGATAATCATTAAAGTCTATTTCTCCCAATTAATGCAAATCAAATATTATTGTACTTCCAAGTCAAAATTGAGGAAATGAGAATAAAGCAGATGTCTACAATATATTTAATGATATAATTAATCTATTCTAACAATTCCTGGAGAATGGAAAGAGGCAGCCCTTAATTTACATTTTATGAATAAAAAGGATGTTGAAAATATGAATATGTTATGAATAAAAAGGATCATGCAGTGTTGCAATTAAAACACAAGTCTTCCAACATCCTATTGAGAATAATTATGTTTTGACTCCAAAGTCCTATACTGAAATTGTATCAGTGTTTCTAATTCTTAAGTATAGTTTTCAGGTCAGAAGAAGGAAAGCCGGAGAAGGAAAAATTAGAGAGAGGAAAATTTGTAGATTGGGGATCTAAAAATCAGGCAGATACAACTCCTGTGATTAAACAGTAAAAGGAAGGAAACTAATTTCTTTTAGTCTACTATGCGTCCCATATTGTACTACGCATTACTCACAATTCATTTTATTTAATACTTGCAAAAAAAAAAAAAAACCTATCAGTTATTCTACACATCTAAAAGATGAGAAAACTGAGGGCTCACAGAGGTTAAGAAAGTCGTTCAGTTTATGAATGGCAAGGCCAACTTTGAACCCAAATTTGCCTATGCCGAAAGCTTCTCTTTCCAGTACACAAAGCTAGAAGTAAATAAATAAATTAATTAAATCGAGAAAATATAGTTGCCAAAATGAATTAGGTAATGGTAAATAATCCAGCCTCCTTCTTCCTTGACTCAGGCCATGGATTCAGACGCCGAAACACCTAAAAATTCCTATTATGCACCCCATAGCTAAGGCAGATGTCTTTTTTGGAGGCTATCCAATAGCATAGGTTTGCGTGAGGAAGGGGGAGGAGGCCCGCTTCAGGGGCAGAGGACGAAAGGAGGGCAGAGGGTGTGGCGCGCGATAGGCTGTGAAGGGACCAGAGGCGGGAGCCTCCGTGCGGCTTCTGGGTCTGCAAGCCTCGAGCCGCGGCTCCGCCACCCCACCCACCACTGCCTTAGTCCCCACACCCCTCACCACTGCTCTGCCCCTGCGCGCTGCCGCCGCCGCCGCCGCCGCCGGAAAAGGGGTCTTCCGCGGGGCCTTCGTACGGGGTGGAGGCGGAGGGCACTCCGTAGGGCGGACTCTTCTCGCCCCAGTGCAGGTTGCGGCTGCCGGGGATGTCTGGGGGAGTCGTCACCCAATGGCCCAGGTCCGACCCGGAGCTGAAGGACCTTGCAGGGAAAGCGCCGCCAAAACCCTGCTCGTCCCGGGCACCACCGCGGTAGCCCAAGCCATCAAATCCGTCGGGGCGCCGCGGATGCATCGTAGCCAGGGCAGGATGACGCGAGCCCACCCGGGACCCGCCAACACCCGGGCCACGGCGACCTGAGGCCACACAGCTTCCCCTTCTCTGACGCCGCGGCCGCGTCGGCGTCCGCGTCCGGGGGCTTCTGACAACCGGAAGTCACATTGGAAACACGGAAGTCCTGGGGATCACGTGATCACAGCCTCTTCCGGCGACTGATACAGGCACGGTTGCTGGGGAGACGCAGTGGGAACCTAGGGCCAACTCTGAAAACTTTGCTGTAGTTCGGCAGGAGGTGGGAATATGGTTGTAGGGTACGGAAGAGATTCCAGAAAGGAAATTGATGTAGGAATGCGGAGTGGATGGGAGGAGGTCAAATATACGCTTCTTCGAGAGAGTTTATAGCGCGCGAGTGGAGCTGATCCACTGAGGACACTGCTAGGAATGATCCGCCCCACGCCGACTCCCCAGACCCAATTAATTCTTCCCTTCGTACCTCGCCTGTCTTAAGGGAGCTAGTAGAGGTTAGTGTGTGGGGTGTTACTAACGTTCCGTCCAGCTTTGTCTTCTGCACTTAGGGTTTTGGATAGAATTATTGAGAGATCTAGTTCCGCCCAGTAAAGCCAAAGGTACTACGGACCACAAGAGCAAGCATTAAAAAAGTTCGAGTGACCGTCGGCGAGAAAGAAACCTACACACATGAATACAAACTGCTCTCCTGAAGTTAAGAATTAAATATTTTACTTCTCTAAGGCTGCAAAGCGACTATAGTTTTCTGTCGTATTTTTCTGAGCGTTTCTAAATCCCTCCGGGTATTGAAATCCCAACGATATCGTTCAAAATTGGGACCCCTAAAAAATTGAACTGAGAGGATTTCTGTAGAGAGTCCCCTACTGCCTGTTTTCATTAGCTCCATGGGCTTTTAGGGCAGAGTCTCTCTTCTTAGATCTGACAGAGGCTTCCATGGGTTCTTCCTGTGTCCCTTCTTCCCTACGGGACGCTCAGGATTCTGAGAGCTTTCAGAAAAGAACCCTGGTATACTGTTCTCAAGCTTCTAGACGCGAACCTTGATTTAAAGTGATAATTGACTTTGAGCGAATTGACACTCTTAAATCAAATTGGGTTGTGATGTGACTTGGACAATGGTGTTGAGTCTCTTGATGAGTGTATCAAGTATTACTCAAGTACTAATGCCAAATTACTGGATAATTAATATCAAATCAGTTACTGGGCATGACAATAAAAATATTTCTCTGTTCCTTAAGAATGGCTCAAGGACAGGATTGTATCAGGTCCTAATCTTGTTTTTTAAGGGAGAGGGGAAGACGGTGTCAGTGTGTTTATGTACTTATAAAAACACTGGCATCTCACAATTGCACACCCACAATAGTGGAGAAAAGATGAATTATTAAAAGGAGGAGCAACTGGAGAACCAGTTGAGGGGAAAAACAAAGCAATAAGAGCACTACCTCATAGCTTACTTTCAAATCTCAGCTGTGATATATTGTCTTTTTACTTTATTTTAAAATTAAATACTGGAAGAAAATGATAGGTAAATACTTTTTAAATAGTGGATTAGAAAGCTTTTCTAAGGGTGACAGCAAAGTCAAAAGCCATTTAGGGAATCAGGGAAAGACTATTATCAATTTGACAGTATAAAATTTGAATTTCTATATGATAACCAAAAAAATAAAAACAGTAATGGAAATTCAAAGGCAAATAACAAACTAGGAAAAATGACATCTTAACATGGTTTAGACAATGGATCCGTATGTTTAATGTCAAGGAGCACTTATCAATGAATAAAGGCAAATAAGAAATATGAGAAAGTCATGAAAAGACAATACACAAAAAGAAATGAAATGGATAATCATGTAAAAATATTTCCTCTAGTAATTGAAAAAAAGATAAATTTAACAATCGTCTTTCACCTATTAAAATGTTTAAAAGAGAAAATGCACATAGTCCTGCCAGGTGAGAAGAAAGTAGCTCTCATTCATTTCTGGAGTGCTATAATACTTTTGATGGAGAGAGCATTTTGGCAATATGTATCAGAAACTGTAAAAATGACCATATCCTTTTACTCCTAAATCTTTAGGAAACAAATATAGGGTGTGTTTCCTATACATGTTTATGGTATGTATAATATGCATGTTTATGGCATAATTGCTCGCAATAGGAGAAAATTGACAATGATCAAAATATCAAGTAGTTGTTATTCATTAACAATTATTATTAAAATGATATATCCATATAGTCCTTTAATTAAAATATATACATTGAACACTTATCTTGTGCAAGGTACTGTTGTTTTAAGCAATGAGGATAGAGTAGTAAATAAGCCAGACAAAGTACCTGCATTATTAGAACTGACTTGCTAGTTTAGGGAGATGAATAGCAAATAAACAAATATATCATGTTAAATAATGAAGCAAACATAATGCAATGATAGATAATGACATGATTATATTAGAAAACACCTAAATGAGTAATAGAGGCAGCCTTTTTTCGATTAGCTTTTTTTAGAACCAGGAAGTCCTCTCTGAAGAAGTGACCTTTGAGCAGAGAATTGAGTGAAGTGAGGTAGTGAGCAATATGTGACTATCCAGGCAGAGATAAGCAGAAGGCCCTAATTACTAGCTAGGTAGCCAGTGAGCAAGAATGAAAGTGATAGGAAAGGAAAGGTGAAAGAAGGCTAGGAGCCAGATTTTGCAGAGCCTTGTCAATAATGGACAAAATGTAGGTTTTTTTGAAAGTAGAGGAGTGATATGACCTTACTGATATTTTAGAAGGATCAACCTGGCTTCTGCATGGGACAGAGGTGGAAGCCTCCTGTCTTTAGTAGGCTATTGCAAGCTGAGGTAAGAGATAGTAGTAACTTGATCTGGAGCGGTAGTAGTGAAGGAGGTGAGAAGAGTTTAGGGACAAGATGTTTAAAGAGTTTTTCCAACATTTTCTTATAGAATTCTTATAGTTTCATGCCTTAGGTTTCAGTTTATTATCCGCCGTGAGTTGATTTTTGTGCGAGGTGCAAGTTGTGGATCCTGTTTCAGTCTTCTACATGTGGCTATCCAATTTTCCCAGCACTATTTATTGAATGAGGATTCTTTCCCTCAGTGTATGACACTTTTTTTGTCCGCCTTGTCAAAGATTAGATGGCTATATGAGGATGGTTTTGTATCGGGGTTCTCAGTTCTGTTCCATTAGTTTCCATCTCTGTTCTTGTGCCAGTACCATGCTGTTTTAGTTATTATACCCTTGTAGTATATAGCTTGAAGTCTGATAAATTGATACCTCCCAATTTTTCTTACCATTGCTTTTGCTATACAGGGTCTCCTTTAGTTCCATATGAAGCATAGAATTATTTTTTCTAGATCTGCAAAAAATGATGTTGGTATTTTAATAGGGATTGCATTGAATCTGTAGATAACTTTGGGTAGTATAGACATTTTAACAATGTTGATTCTGCCGACCCATGAGCATGGTATGGTTTTCCACCTGTTTATGTCCTCTGCTAGTTCCTTCCTCAGTGTTTTGTAGTTTTCCCTGTAGAGGTCTTTTACCTCCTTAAGGAAAGAATTTATGAAGAAGACCCTAAAGGAAATCACAGCAACAAAAAAAAGTAAATAAATGGTACATAATCAAATTCAAAAGCTTCTGCACAGCCAAGGAAACTATCATGAGAGTAAACAGACAACCTACAGAATGGGAGAAAATATTCACATGCTACACATCCAATAAAGGGCTGATAACTAGAATCTATATAGAACTCAGGAAAATCAGCAAGAAAAAATCAAACAACCCTACCAAAAAGTAGGCAAAGGACATGAACAGAAACTTTTCAAAAGAAGATAGACTAATGGCCACGAAACATATGAGAAAATGCTCAACATCTCTAATCATCAGGGAAATGCAAATCAAAGCCACAATGAGATATCACTTATCTCCAGTGAGAATAGCCTTTATCAAAAAGTCCCAAAACAATAAATATTGGCATGGATGTCTAGAGATAGGAACACTCATACACTGCTGGTGGGACTGCAAACTAGTGCAAGCTCTGTGGAAAGGAATATGGAGATACCTCAAAGATCTACAAGTAGAACTACCATTTGATCCAGCAATCCCATTACTGGGCAGCTACCCAAAGGAAAAAAAGACATTCTATAAAAAATACATCTGCACTAGAATGTTTATAGCAGCACAATTAACAATTGCAAAAATGTGGAAACAACTCAAATGCCCATCAATACATGAGTGGATTAATAAAATGTGGTATAAGTATACCATGGAGTTCTAATCAGCCACAAAAAAAAATGGTGATCTAGCACCTCTTGTATTATACTGGATAGAGCTGGAGCCCATTCTACTAAGTGTAGTATCACCAGAATGGAAAAAAAAGCACCATATGTACTCACCATCAAATTGGTATCAACTGACTTAACTGACCAACACTTAAGTGCACATATAGTAGTAGTAATATTCATTGGGTGTCAGGCAGGTCGGAGGGGAGGAGGGGATGGGTATATTCACACCTAATGGGTGCAGTGTGTACCATCTGGGGATGGACATGCTTGAAGTTCTGACTCGGGTGGGGCAAAGGCAATATATGTAACCTAAACATTTGTACCTCTGTAATATGCTGAAATAAAAAAATAAAGAATTTTAAAAAGATGTTTAAAGATTATACTAGAGATGAATATTAAATGACATAAAATGTTCATGTTATTATAAATTTAAGACATGTACAGTATTATCTCACTTTTTAAAAAATATTAATAAAGGTATATAATAGAAGGATATGTGTCAAAATGATAAGATTGCTATGTCTGGGTGTGGGTTGGCATAGTTGTTTTTTACTTAATTGCTCTAAACACAGCTTTTTTCAAAAAAATTTAGAAAATAGTAGAGAACATTCAATTATGGGCAGACAGCAATAAAAAGCTTTTTGGATTATTAAATCTCTTCATAGCATTTAGTCAGCAGTCTCTAGAGCACTATCAAAATTCTGTCATCCTATATTTCCCTAAAATATTTCTAAAAGAATTGTGTTGAAATGGTCCAGGGTTTATAGCTTAAAACTAATTTGACAAATTCATAACACAGGACTTAAAACTTGCATTTAAAAGGTAGCAGTGCAGTTTATGAAAATTATAG